AACAGCTGAGCGAGCCAGTTTGCCAACCAGACCTAGCGACTCGCCCAGGTCAGCCCGAACAGGGGGAATCGCCGAATGCTCAGAACACTACGCCAGGTCAAGCCCATGCCCCAACGACCGTCGAGGCATGTCCCGAGGGCCTGGACTTGACACCAGCCAACAGTTTACCCGAGCTGCGACGTTCTGGTCGCCAGCGCAGACAGCCTACTTACCTACAGGACTACGCATGTTCCCAGCTGGGGGCAAGGAGCGTTATGTCTGTGGAACTGGTTGGAGTTCCCAACCAGGTCCGCTGTTTGAGCGGGAGCACCAGCCGCTCCCATTGGCTGGCTCCGTTTGACAGTCGGCTATAAAAGCCGGCTGTCGAGCAGAGCCAGCCCCGTTGTCGCCCGCTGGTCTGCCAGTTAGCAAGCAGACGCGACAACCCCTTATTCTCTGCAATAAAGCCTTGTTAGTTGTACGCTCTGGCTCCTGCCTCTTCCTTACCATCGCTCTACAACAGAGAGATTCATCCTGGAAATAAGGAGAAACTTTCTGACAGGGAGAACAATCAACCAATGAACCAGCTTGCCCTCGGAAGTTGTGGGAGCGCCATCACTTGAGACCTTCAAGAAGAGATTGGACTGCCATCTGTCAGAAATGGTGTAGGGTCTCCCACTTGGGTTGGGGGGTTGGACTAGATGACCTATAAGGTCCTTTCCAATTCTGATTATCTGTATCTGTTATCTATAACTGTATCACCTTCACCCCTCAAAGAGAAGAATTTTTTTTATTTATCTATTTTATTTCCACTTGGAAACTACTTCTGGACTTTGTATACTTGAAACTGTAAAAAAAATGAAAATTTGATTTTAGGTTTTGATTACTAGAATGGCTTTGTTGCTGTAGAAATGGCTTGAAACACAAACATGTAAAGCTAAAGATTGAAGTTGTGCCTTTTTTATATTCTATTGCACTGAAAAAAAATTAGAAGTGGCTCCTTTTTTTACTTTTTTCTTCCTTTCTACACTTCTTTCTTTTTACCTTTCTCAGCTTTTGTTCCTATTTGAACTTCACCTTGTAATAAAGTTTAATTGTTGTTATAATAAATATAATAAGCTTTAATAAAAAAATAAAAATCCATACAGACCGTTGCCCACAAGAGGGCAACATTGATCAACAATGCTAAATATTTCCTAACTTGATTTAGATCAGGATTTCAACTGCAGTCAGTGCTGTACATTAAAAATGAAATTTCTCCTGGGAGATGGAAACTGAATTCAGAAGAGAGGAGCATTTTAATTCTCCGTTATCCAAAATTTCCCTCGCTCAAAATTGTCAAATCTTAAACTGTGTTTTTTTTAAAAACAAAAAAAACAGACAGCATAGCGTTCTCAGAATGAAGATAATGCCAGAGGCTGCGTCTTAATTTGCATAGCAGGTCACCTTCTCATTTAATATATTGCTCTTTAAAAGACTTTTTTGAGGTCCTGAAATCAAGATGCCCAAGAAGAGGAGGTAAGGGGGGGTCTATTGCAGCGGTGGGATTCAATGTTTTTTTTACTACCGGTTCTGTGGGCGTGGCTTGGTGGGCTTGGCAGGGGAAGGATACCGTAAAATCTCCAGTCAGAGGTGGGATTTGCTGGTTCTCTGAACTACTCAAAATTTCCGCCACCGGTTCTCCAGAACTGGTCAGAATCTGCTGAATACCACCTCTGGTCTATTGATACCTCCAAACCATAAGTTCTTGACTCTGCTCAAACTCTGCATACAGGTAGGAATTACAACCGTTCACTTAATGACCATTCGAAGTTACAATGGCACTGAGAAAGTGACTTATGGCCATTTTTCATACTTGCAACTTTTGTAGCATCTCCGTGCTGGTGTGATCCTTTCCTTTCCTTTCCTTTCCTTTCCTTTCCTTTCCTTTCCTTTCCTTTCCTTTCCTTAAGACCACGTGACCCAATGGTGGGATTCAATTTTTTTTTACTACCAGTTCTGTGGACGTGGCTTGGTGGGCCTGGCAGGGGAAGGTTACTGCAAAATCCCCATTCCCTCCCCACCCCACTAACCTGCTTTCCAGCTCCATTCTCCTGTTCAAGGCAACCAAAGAAGACCCAGCCAATCAGCTGGGACTCAATGGGAGGCAGAGAATAGATGGAGTTGGCGGGGCCAGTCAGGGGTGGGATTTCCCGGTTCTCTACTCAAAATTTCTGCTACTGGTTCTCCAGAACTGGTCAGTACTGGCTGAATACCACCTCTGACGTGACCACAGTAGCAGTGCAACAGCAGCCAGTAGCACTGAAGGAGCCACATTTTCCCCAAATTTAATTCCCTCAGGAGTCATGGATCCTGGATTTTGGACTCATTCTGTAAGTTAGCCTATTTTGGACCTTGGTTCAGAATTTGCGGCCCTCTTGAGGTGTCGTTTTGCCCAGTTAAAGGTTATGACAAGTGTCTAGATCCATAGGGAAAAAAAATCCATGAACTAAACTCACAGAGCCCCAATTCATTTAAAGACAAGAAAAGGATCCGTGGTAGTTTGCACAGGAGCGACGGCTGATGGATTGAGAACTAAAGAGTGTGATTCTGCATATCTTGCCATTCATAAAAAGTGTCATTGATCCCTGAAGTGTCATTATCACCAGCCCTTTAGAATCTGCATTCTGCTCATATCCAAACCCAGCAGAGACTGCGGATTCTAAAGGGCTTGTTGATCACGGTAATTTGAACAGAAGGTAGAATCGAACACGCTACAGGAACATCTGCAGAAGAGACAGTTTATGTCCCATGGAACATGAGGTCATTGTGAAAATGACACAAGATACAAGATCAACATCATTTGCAGTATGATGCAGTAGATGTCAGAGTTCCAATTAATATACCCATAGCGAGCAAAACACCGAGGCAAGTGAATTCCTCAAATAATACTTTTATTGGGTCTATCATGTTGGCACAGTTCTGGTGAAAATCCGACTCTGCAGGTTCCCGCAGTTTTCACCTAATTTAAAGTTTTTCCCCTTCCCCATACAATCAGTCACATGGTCCAATCACGGTGCTGTCTGGTTGCCTGGTAACTTCACTCCTCCTTCCTCTGGCCAGCTGTCCTTGGTTCCTAGGAGAATTGTCAGGAGAAGGGATAATTTGTGATATTTTAGGAGGTGATAAGTTACTAAAATCTTTAAACTTGTGATGAAGCAGGAAGCCATTTCTACATATATTTTTCTTTTACTTTACTACATTCCTTTTTTTTATTTTTATTTTGGTGCACTTCTTTTGCTTTTTATCCTTTTCTGTTTTGGGTATTCGTTTCCATCATTGTAAATGTAATTTTTAATAAAATTACTATTATAATTTTAAAAAAACAACACATCTGGGCGCATAATCCATCAGAATTCCTGTCACAGGGAGAGTTTATAAGGGATGCATTATGCAAGCTAATAGGGTAACCTCATTTGCAAGAAGCAGTCAACCACGGTCCTCACATTTGCATCTCATATTATCAACTCATTTAAAAAAAGATCGGATTTAGCAAGGTAAATGCATTAACACAGAGCAGCAGGTGTCACCTGCAAAACAACAAAAATTCCTTGCTTTCAGATGATTTCTAAAACCAGTAATGTTAAAAAGTAATTAATGTTGCCTGACGAACAACACAGATGAATGCTATTCAGTTAATGGAGAGTTTTAATAGCCGAGTTAATTAAAACACGCAGCCTTTTAAATTCACATCTACTTTATCAAGCAATGCTGGAAAAACTGAATGAGTTCTGAAAGAGTTGTGCACCGGGATTAAGAGAACAGAGATTAGAGAATTGAAAAAATATATATAGACTCTGAGATACATTATTCATTGTCACCCTTGACCCTGGTTTTTCCCCACCCCCTGGGTGTATCATAATTCATATTCTCCAATGAGACACATCCATAGCCAAGAGCCATCAATCATGCTCTCCAGTTAGAATTTTGCAAGACAGAAACTTCACTCACCTAGTTACTATCTTAGAAAACATTCATGGAATGCACTTTTGGTTTTGGTTAAGTCGGAATGTTAAGTCAGCATGCAATTTAGGAATAAAATCTGGATTGCTTGTGCCTTGAGGATCACAGGTAGTCCTCGACTTACAACCGCAATTTATGTTGCCAAGCGAAACATTTGTTAAGTGAGCTTTGCCTCATTTTACGACCTTCCTTGCCACAGTTGTTAAGTGAATCGCTGCAGTTGTTAAGTTAGTCACACGGTTGTTTAAATGAACCTGATTTCCCCGTTGACTTTGCTTGTCAGAAGGTCACAAAAGGGGATGACGTGACCCAGGGAACACTGCGACCATCATAAATATGATGTCAGGATTCCGGCAGTTAACCCCCGCATTTAAATCATGAGTCTCGAGCCAAACCTCCAAAACTTCAAAAGGATTTATTGGGGGTTAACATGTCCAGCACTGCCTGGGTGTAGCTGACTCTGAGACACATAATTCATTGTCATTCTTGATCCTGGTTTTCCCCCACCCCCTGGGTGTATCGTAATTCATATTCTCCAGTGGGACACATCCATAGCCAAGCGTCATCAATCAATCAGGCAGAAACTTCAGTCACCTAGTTACTATCTTGGAAAACATTTATGGAATGCACTTTTGGTTTTGCAAGCTGCTACACTACTTCCCCCTCCCTTTCTGTTGGCAACTCTAAAAAGACCATAGAAATATGTTATGAGTTGACACATGAATCACTTGCCAAGCGCCTGAATTTTGATTCTGTGACCATGGGGATACTGCAATAGTCGTGTGAAAAACGGCCATCAATCACCTTTCTCAGTGCCGTTGTAACTTCAAACAGTCACTAAATGAACTGTTATAAATGGAGGACTAACTATCTGTGCTTCCTTTTTTTTAATCTATTTCAGAAATACCTGCATGTGTTACTGGATCTTATGTGCAAATTCACTGACAAAACCACAAGGTGCAAGCAATGAAGAACAATTCAACGATGTATTTTTATTTATTATTATTTTTGAGGAATAGCATATCTCATACAAATCCCTTTTCTGGATATGTCTCGTTAACGGACTTTCAATTTTTCAGAATTTCTTGGGGAAGGCAATACAGGGACTAAGCATTCAGAGCTACCACGGACATAACAGGACTTGTTTCGTAGTCAAAGCAAATTTCAGAGGTTCTTGAAACAAAAAACCCAAACAAACATGGAGTTTATAGCTAGAGACTCAGCTAGGAGAAACTTTCAATGGGTCTGTAGGATTTCAGAGTTTAAATTAGCATTGCTAGATCGGATATTATTTCCTCACATTAAAAAAAAAACACACCTGAAAAATCATAATTGATATCTACCTACAATCCCCAGCGGGGTTTTTTTTCCCCCGCTCACCCTCTCAAGGAGAAAACAAAATCAATTAATTCAATAATACAGAGCGTGAAGAAAAGGATGCAGAAAAGTACAGGAAAGCCCACATTACGAAATGTAAGCCAGCTCCAAACCTCTCTGATTATTCTGGCTCTCCAACGAATCAGTTTTGGAAACAAACATCCTATAAGCCAGTTTAGAGGTCCCATCGATGAAGGACCTCAAACCCGGAGTCCCGCTTTATTCCAACGGGTCTCTCTTTCAAAATTGAACCCGGATTTCCATATCAAATTTCTCTTTGGAGAACGTCACAGAAATGAAACTGGCTTCATGCCCAATTCAGATGGCTTTGTAGCGCAGATGTGCCCAGATGAAAAAAAACAAAACAAAAACCCAGCACAATAATACATTTAAGAGGAAGGGTGACATTTCTACATAGTTTAGCTACATTTTGCTACCTAGCTTTCTAAGCCTCCGTTTCTCCTAGCGCTATTGCTGAACTTAATATTTTAAACTTCCAATTAGTATCTAGTCTGAGTTAGCCGACCAGCAGCTAACTCGCAAACTAACAAACGAACGAACAAACAAACAAAAAAAACCCAGAGCACTCGTGCCCCTTTTCATAATAAATAGCTGAACATCTTAAGGAACCCGCAACAAACGCTACGTCGTGAGCCGTTTATCCCTTCAAGGGAAAAAAACGCAAGAGTTCTTAGATTTCTTTTCGACAAGAATCGTCAGCGAAAATCTTCCTCAGATCCTGGTGGCATCTGAAAGAGTCCAGTTGGCCTTGGATCGATGGAAGGGAAGTTCTACTTGGAATCCGATAAATGTGAAAGTACCAGAAAGTCTGATGAGTAGAGTTTGCAGGTGGGATGGGATGAGGAAGAGTGGGGGAAATCCCATCCAGGTGCTTCAAAAGGATTCACAGTAGACTCGGATCTTCACTGGGTCCTCTTTGATCAACCGCATGCCACCCAACTGGCCCTTTCGTCGGACAATCGGTGGGTAGAGGAAAGCTTGCCTTTCCTGACTCGTGTCAGCTGGGCTTTCCTCTCAACATCATGTCCCGACTTGCTCTTCACCAACTATTCAGCTCTCATAACTTAAAAACGCGCCTCTTGGTCTTCAAGAGGAGGAGACGAGGGATGGGTAAATAAATAAGCGACCTCAGCCATGGCCTTCATCCTAAGAACCCAGGTCAAGATCGTAGCAGCAACTGCAGAAAGCACCCAACTCATGCATTAGCCTCTTCCCAGAAGCGTGGACCTATAAGAGAAGTCAAATAGAGAAGGAAGACCTTCCATTAGGACAGCGGTGGCTAACCTTTTTGGGCTCCTGTGTCAAAAATTGCGCATGCCCTTGTGTGTCAGAAGGCAATGCATGCCCCCCACCCCACCCCTGAGCATGCGTGTGCGATTTTCCCCCTGCCACCCCCTTACCTGCCCCGCGCCTCCCAGCTGATTTTCGGACCCGCTTGAGGCCTTTTTCGGCCTGCCAGAAGCCTCTGCAGCCTTTGCAGGCCGAAAAATGGGCCCGTTTTGTCACTTCTGGTATTTCCGGAAATACAGGAAGAGACAAAACGGGCCTATTTTTTGGTCTGTAAAGCCTGCAGAGGTTTCCCTCAAGCCTCTGGCAGGCCAAAAAAGGCCTGAAAATCAGCTGGGAGGCATGCACATGAGCAGTGAGGTAAGTTTGCCTGGGGCTCGCGTGCCTGCACAAATGGCTCTGCGTGCCACCTGTGGCACACATGCCATAGGTTTGCTTTCACGGCATTAGGACATCAAGAAGACACTGTCCAATTGCTTGGAAGTCCTGTGCCCATCTGAACTTGCCATCAGGGCCAGTCTGTGTGCTTTAAGAGAAAGATGTACAGGTAGTCCTCGACTTAACGACCACAGTGGAGTCCAACATTTGTGTTGCTAAGTGAGACATTTGTTAAATGAGCTTTGGCCCATTTAATGAACTTTTGTGCCACATTTGTTCAAATGAGTCGCTGCATTTGGTCAATTAGTAACACGGTTGTTTATCTGGATTCCCCATTGACTTGGCTTGTCTGAAGGTCGCAAAAGTGGATCCCATGACCTCAGGACACGGCCACTGTCGTCAATACATACCAGTTGCCCAATGTCTGGATTTGGATCACGTGACCATGGGGATGCTGCAATGGTCATGAGTGTGAAAAATGATGGTAACTCCCTTTTTTCAGTGCTCTTGTGACTTCAAACAGTCACTAAATGAATGGTTGTAAGTCGAGGAACACTTGTCTAAAAACAAAATGATATATATAGCACTCTTATCCTATAAAGAGCCATGGCTCCTGTAAAGAGCTGTGGTGGCGCAGTGGTCAGAATGCAGTATTGCAGGCTAACTCTGCCGGATGCCAGCAGTTTGAACCTGACTGGCTCAAGGTTGACTCAGCCGTCCGTCCTTCTCAGGTTGGTAAAACAAGGACCCACATTGTTGGGAGACAATAAACTGACATTTATAAACCCCTTAGAGAGGGCTGTAAAGCACTATGAAGCGGGATATAAGTCTAAGTGCTATCGCTATTATTATCCTAACAGAAAACAAAAACATTGGTTCAAGTGCAAGAAGAACCATTCAGTCTGTTGATGGATACCGGAAAGGTTCGAGCACTCACCTGAGTGTCTTCCACCTGTCCTTTTCAATGTGATTCTCTGGACCTTCACTTTCATACGAGGCCAAATAAAGTGCTACAACCAGAAGAAAGAAAATATGAGCCTTACAGACACCTTCTAAATGTCTTGAATTATGTTCCCTGTGGGATAGCAACACCATCTCTTTCCAAATGCGTGGTCCTCAGGAGGAAAAATTTTTCTCATTTCTAACGGCGTTAAAAGCTTGTGTGAACTGGAGCACAAGTAATAGTTCATAAATGAGATTCAAGGTTCCTATGAACATCCTTATTATTCTTATCCAGAAGACATGTTAGCTGCTTCCTCCTTTTCCCTTCAATTCCCTGAAAAAAACTGTTCCAAAAGACTGGAAGATACACCCGTATAATTTTGGAAGCAATGCTAAGATCGGCAAGATGACGAAGGGGAACTTTAACCTGGGAAGTTTTGTGTTTTTGTAATGCAGGGATCTGGTATTGTGTGGTCACAAACCACAAGCACTCTCTGCCCAATCAGTTCAGACAGGCAAGACTAATCTAATAACAGAAATAACACAATGACAGAGTTGGAAGCCTTCTAGTCAAGCGGGAAACCCTATACTATTTCAGAAAAACGGCTTTCCAATCTCTTCTTAAAAATTTCCAGTGTTGGAGCATTCACAACTTCTGGAGGCAAGCAGTTCCACTGGTTAATTGTTCTAACTCTCAGGAAATGTCTCATTAGTTCTAGGTTGCTTCTCTCCTTGATTAATTTCCATCCGTTGCTTCCATCGATGCCACAGGCTGCGACATTGGAAGTTGGAAGGAAAATAAAAGTAGGCGATTACATATCACCCTGTGTATCAGAATAGCTGTCAAATATACAACATGCTGAACATGTCTGTGGAGATTCTCAGTCCTCCAGGTCATAATTGTCCCAAAGACAATCAAGAGGCAACTGGACTTCCTGGTTTTTCTTTGAAGATGTTTCGCTTCTCATCCAAGAAGCTTTTTCAACTCTGACTGGAGGGTGTGGAATGGAAGGATTTATACTCCTTGCAGACAGCTGGTCATTTGCATCCTTTCAGCGAGTCATTGAGGCGACCTGGGGATTTATCTGTGTCATCAGGGTCACAGGAGTGGTGCCAATGGGTGTGGAGCCTTGTTGAAAGGACTATGTTGTAGACTGGAGATAGACGGCGTCTTATCCCTCCCTCCTTCGTTGGGAGAGGGCTGATCCATGTTGACATAATAGATGGCCTCTTTGAATGCAAACGGCCAGCTGTCTGCAAGGAGTATAAATCCTTCCATTCCCTACCATCCAGTCAGAGGTGAAGAAGCTTCTTGGATGAGAAGCGAAAGGTCTTCAAAAGAAAAACCAGACAGTCCAGTTGCCTCTTGAAAGAAAGAAAGCACCTTTGGAACAACACGACGAACAATTGCAGGTGCTCTTCTCTTACCGTCCTCACTGAAAACTGGAATGGTGAGCAGGTATTGAAGGATTTTCCGGTCCCTCTCGAAAGGGCACTCCACTTGCTTCCAGGTCATAAACTCACTCACTTGTTTAGCCAGTTCCCAAAACTTCTGCAAGGAATGAGCAGAACAGGAAAAGCACATAAGCTAAGCAGGTACAAGGGATCCATTAAAACAAGGCAATAGGGTTGATCGGTCTGTTCCAGAAGGATAGTTCATTAAACTGTTGCAATAAAAGAGAGGATTAGCAGCTCAGGGTTGAAATGCGGGGTCCTTGATGCTCTCTGAAGCGCAGTTGTTTTCTTGCAGAGGTTTCAATACCTACCCTAGTTACATGATCAGGGCTAGAAGGGCGCGGGGTTTGCGCTCAATTTATATTCCGGTGAATTACTCCGTCCAGCATTGTCTTAGAGCCGTGACGACAAACCTAGGGCACACGTGCCAGAAGTGGCACGCAGAGCCATCTCTCCAGACACGCCAGCTGTCGCCCATTGCTCTTCTGGGTTCTGGCGCGCATGCGTACCAGGCAGCTGGTCTTCATGCACGTGGGAGCACCGGAAACCGGAAGAGCTGCTCCTCAGCGTGCATGCACGCACCGGAAAGTTGAGCTTCCGGTTTCCAGTGCATGCATATGCGCCCCAGCTAGCTTCGCACATGCATGCGTGCCAGAAACAGGAAGACTAGGTGGCCAGGACACATGCCAGAAGCCGGAAGTTCAGTTTCCGAGCACGCCCATGTACGCCAGGGAGCTGCTCTTCTGGTTTCCAGCACTCACCCATGCTCCTGTTTCGGCTCTCAGTGCCAAAAAGGTTTGCCAACACTGTCTTAGAGGTTCTTTGATTTGGCTGTTTATTGTTAGTTTGTTTGGCTAGCGGTAGACAGCTAACATCTTACAGCCCAAGGAAAGGACCTCCAAGACCATTCCCACCAATACTGGCAGGGCTATTCACTAGATTATAAACTGAGAGCAAACCCCACTCCCCTTACATGTTATCTTGTTTGAGTAAAGAAACATCTGGAAGAAATAAACCAAGGTCAAAGAGCACCAGGGACCCCTTATAACCCTTGCCTTTTGTAATTCTGCTCAAGTCCTGCTCCTTCAGGCCTATAAGGATGGACTATTCTTTAATTCTGTGGGTTGGGAAAGAAAAAACCAGCCCTTTGTCAGTGAAAACAAGACATGCTCAGAGAATATAGGTAAAGGTAAAGGTTCCCCTCTCACATATGTGCTAATTGTTTCTGGCTCTAGGGGGCGGTGCTCATCTCCCTTACAAAGCCGAAGAAGAGCCAGCACTGTCCGAAGACGTCTCCGTGGTCATGTGGCCGGCATGACTAAACACTGAAGGTGCACGGAAGGCTGTTCCCTTTCCACCAAAGTGGACCCTATTTTTCTACTTGCATTTTTTACGTGATTTAGGTTGGCAGAAGCTGGGACAAGTGATGGGAGCTCACTCCGTTATGTGGCGCTAGGGATTCGGACTGCCAAACTGCCGACCTTTCTGATCGACAACCTCAGTGTCTCAGCCACTGAGCCACCAAGTCCATTCAGAGAACATAGATAGGGCTCTTCAAAAAACCAACCATGGTTGGAAGGGAAGGAAACATGTCAGAGCCGTGAGGTAACCTGTACAAAGTTCCTGCCTCTGCACTCCAAAATCTTGACGAGGTTTTCTGCTCCTGCGTTCAATTCGACGAGGTTAAGAGTTTAAGAGAAATTCGGAAACCCTGAGGACGCTCTACTTACTTCAAAATTGACATGGCCGTTGGGCAAGCGGTTGGCACAGCCTTCATTGAGGAAGTAAATATCCTTGATAAGCAGGCTGAAAAATGGGATCACAATCTAAAAGAAGAGAGAAAAAAAGAATCCAGATTAGCAACAGACCTGTGACTGGAACAAAAGGGGGAAAAACGTCTTTGTCTCATTTGGGACAAATAAAGAATAAACTGCACCACGTTTGGGGCAGAGGTAGCTCCAAAAAGCTATACAACAAGAGAGGCCATAGCTGAAACTAAGCCGAAGATCCTTTGCTTGTCTATCCCCTCTGGTCAAACACTTATTCTGCAGAATTTAAGTTCCAGCATCTCCGGTAAGCCAGGGTTGGGAGGGGCCATGGCCCTTTTATGGCTTTTGGACTTCAACTCCCAGAATTCCTCAGCAAGCCATTTTATGATTTGTGGACTTCCAACTCCCAGAATTCCCAAGCCAGCCATTTTGTGACTTGTTTTATGACTTGTGGACTTCAACTCCCAGAATTCCTGAGCTGGCTCAGAAATTCTGGGCATTGAAGTCCACAAGTCATAAAAGGGCCATAGTTCCGCACTTCTGCAGTAAGGCAAGCATTCAGTGTATTGCATTATTCATAACTCTTTTACAACACACACATACAAGCACAGACACACGCACGCCACTTTTACCGATCAACCACTTGCAATGTAGTGTTCTCTAGGTGTGTTATGCCCAAGGGAGAGGAGGAACAGCCAACAGGGAGTGGAAGTGTGGCTCTGGAATTTGTGAAGGAGGCTGGGGAAGGGCAGAAGCCGGCTGGGCAGTCAGAGGCGGACCCAGGCCCATCCTAGGGGATGCAGGGAGGAGAGGATAAGGGAGAGACGTGGTCTACTCGGGAGGAGTGGGCCTTGATTCTCTTCATGGGCTGCAACTGTGACAACTGGATAAGAGGACAGATCTGCGTACGAGTGAGTGCTGGAAACAGTGTGGAAATATCTCTAGTTTATGGTTCCTCTCTGAGTTTGGCGTCCTTCCCAGTGTGTGTACTGATATCTGTGGACGTCCTCCAGCCCTTATCTTGCCTGGTTTGTGTTGTTTTTTACTCTTTATAATTTATAGGCATTTTTTTAGTTTAAATGGCATTTCCTCTTTCTCGTAACTGCTTGTGTGGGAGTTTTTTGTCTCCAGTCAAGGATATTTGGAGCTTGGAAGCAAAGTGAAGGAATAAAAAAAGGGTTCATCTTTTTTTTTTTGTGACTGTGTTTATTTTGTATCCTCACCCTGGGTCATCACAAGATGCCTCTGGCTATGTCGGCGTTTAAAAGCTGATCACTTGCTCAAATGTGAAGGAATATACCTCTCTGCCCAAGATTTGAATGACCCCCCCACAACCTGCTGGCTTTCCATACATTGTTCCCATGCACCAAACCAGGATGTTTTTGAGATGATTGCAGATATGGATATATGTGTCACCCGTGGAATGATGTTATTTTGAGGTTTTTCGTGTGTTCTTCCTGACATTTTTATTGTTAATGATAATCATTGTGGGTCACCCAAAGTCATACAATGAGTGGGAGACCAAATTAAAGGAATAGATTAAATAAATTCAGGCAGTCCTCGACTTAACAACAAACAACTAAGCCGCAAATTCCATTGCTAAGCGAGGCAGTTAAGTGAGTTTTGCCCCATTTCACAACCTCTTTTGTCACAGTTATTAAGCAAATCACTGCAGTGGTTAAGTGAATTATGTGGTCATTAAGTGAATCTGGCTCCCCCCTCCATTGACTTTGCTTGTCAGAAGCCGGATGGGAAAGTTACAAATCGTGATCACATCCTGGCATACTGCAACCATCATAAATACATGCCAGTTGCCAAGCGCCCAAATGTTGATGACATGATCATGGGAATGCTGCAATGGTCTTAAGTGCGAAAACTGGTCATCAATGACTTTTGTGCCACAGTGGCGCAGTGGTTAGAGCGCAGTACTGCAGGCTATTTCTGCCGACTGCCAGCGGTTCGGCAGTTTGATCCTGAGCAGCTCAAGGTTGACTCAGCCTTCCATCCTTCCAAGGTGAGTAAAATGAGGACCCAGATTGTTGGGGGCAAGAGGCTGACTTTGTAAACTGCTTAGAGAGGGCTGGAAAGCACCGTAAAATGGTACATGTCTAAATTTATTGCTATTGCTGTTTTTCCTTCCTTCCTTCCTTCCTTCCTTCCTTCCTTCCTGTTCTATTGCATTACTGTTTTTTCCTTCCTTCCTTCCTGTTCTATTGCACTGCTGTTTTTTCCTTCCTTCCTTCCTTCCTTCCTTCCTTCCTTCCTTCCTTCCTCCCTTCATCCATCCATGCTGTGCAGTGGTTAGAATATAGTATTGCAAGTTAACTTTGCCCACTGCCAAGAGTTTGATCCTCACCGGCTCAAGGTTGACTCAGCCTTCCATCCTTCTGAGGTGGGTAAAATGAGGACCCAGATTATGGGGGGCAAGAGGCTGACTCTGTAAACTGCTTAGAGAGGGCTGTATAGCACTGTGAAGCGGCATACAAGTCTAAGTGCTATTGCTATTTTTCAGTGCCGTTGTAAATTCAAACAGTCACAAAGCAAATGGTTTTAAGTCAAAGACTACCTGTATTTATCTCTTTCTTAGACCATTACCTTCTCTCTGCTGCTGTGAGCTGTCAGAGACCTCTGGGTAGCCCCACGGAGAGCTGTGCGATAATTGTAGAAATTGCTGGAAGGGTCCATTTGATGCTAGAAAAAGGAGAAGTGGAAATGTAGAGAATTAGAGTTTTGTGTCAGAAGGTTTAATATTCCATCAAAATATTGCTTTAGAACTCCAGCTTTTATCCTGGGGAGACCATTTCCAATGTAAAGCACACACTGAACAGTTTTCAGAGTCAAAATAGGTTATGGATTAAAAAGCTAACCAAATCTGGGAAAAAAACAACAACAGATGAAGCAAATAATTGTAAAATTTCATTTCTAGCCAAAAGGGCTGATGATCAAAATTATTTGAAAGTAGCAACAGATGAATTGTTAAATATCCATTTTCAAAAATCAAAATCCACTATGGTAACTTCCTGGAGTATTGTGACTAGAACAGAATAACAGAGTTGGAAGGGACCTTGGAGGTCTTCTAGTCCAACCCTCTGCTTAGGCAGGAAACCCTACATCACTTCAGAGAAATGGTTATCCAACATCTTTTTTAAAACTTTCAGTGTTGGAGCATTCACAACTTCTGGAGGCAAGTTGTTCCACTGATTAATTGTTTTAACAGTCAAGAAATTTCTCCTTAGTTCTAGGTTGCTTCTCTCCTTGATTCGTTTCCATCCTTTTTCTTCTTGTCCTGCCTTCTGGTGCTTTGCAGAATAGCTTGACCCTCTCTTCTTTCTGGCAGCCCCTGAGATATTGCTAGACTGCTATCGTGTCTCCCCTAGTCCTTCTTTTTTCATCAGCCTAGACAAATCTAAGGATTTCCAACCTAAAATCATGAAGCGAAACGTCTTCAAGGAAAAACAGTCTAGTTGCCTTTTGAAAAAGCAACCTTTTGGGACAACCATGAACTGGATGACTGAGAATCTCCAAACATAACTGAATAACAAAGATTCAGATTAAAAGGTCAGGACTTACCTCCAGAATGTCAAACTTGGCAGTCTTGACTTTTGACCAGGTTTTCTTTAATCTGGAGACAGGAGTCATATTCATTCCAGCTTTTATTTCAAAGTGTAGAGGAAAAGAGAAGAAAAGAGATAAAATACATAGTCGTATTTTGAGGCCATTTTTCCTCAAAATGAGGAAAAAATAACCATCCACTAAGATATCCACTTTTTCCAGTTTTCTTTTTTCATCCAATTACAACCCATTATCCCAAAACAAGCCATTCAAAAATGCAAGCATGGTTAACATTTCTATAGATAGCATTTTAGAAAGTTATATTTCTTTCTAGACTCATTATTCATAAGCATTTTGGGCACGGATTTCTAGCTGCCAACTCCTTTGATAGAAATCTGTTTCAAGAGAAATTTGTGGTAGATTTCCTTTGCTTTCCTGCCAGAGGACATATAATAAAATAAGCTTTGAAAAATGTTTCACAAGTGTTAAGTAACCTCAAATTTATGCGAGACTAGCAGGGTACCCGTGCATCGCTACAAAACTATGTGATCAGGCAAGTTTTGGGGGAGGAAAATAAGGAAAAACAATTCTATCTCTGCCTACCAGCATCCATCGGTATTCATCTGGCTAGCGTCCTGTCAGTGTGTGACAGAGTTGAGGGCTGTTTGGAAACTGAAACATTATTTGCTGTGTGAGCAAGGAGACAGCAAGGAGCCTGGGCGTGGCTTAGCTCAACTGCAGTTGGAACAGATTTCTTTTCAGGTGGGGAGGGGGAGTAGAACTCCTTAGCATCAGAGCGTGTTAATAACAATACAGGAAATACTAATGCTCTGATGGTCATTTTGAAAAATCCTTTTCTTAGCGAGCACCTAGAAGCCAAGAACAACAATATGTGGCAAATTTCAAATTTTGTAGGCTTTACGGTTCTGGAGATTTCGTGATGATGCCTGAGTGGTATTTCACTTTTATAGAGAGAGATTTAAGTAAACTCATCTTGAAGTCAAAGGCTTAAAACATGGCAGCCATTTTTAATGCAGGTGAAGTATCAGTTTATGTGAGGGATCCTGGCTGGGCTTACTATCTTTGCAAAGATTCATCAGTGAAGTAAAACTAGGCTGGGTGGGGACATGTTTTGATCCTGAAATGCCACTATGGGGAAGATGAGAAAGAAGGGACAAAGAGGCACATCAAGAGTTGCTTTCTCTACTCCATTATTTTTCATAAGCTTAAGGACGTTTTTCTCAACCTTGTCAGGCTAAGATGCGTGGACTTCAACTCCCAGAATTCCCCAGCCAACATAAGGGAGTTGAAGTCTACACATCTTCAAATTGTCACGGTTGAGAAACATCGGTTATAAACTTAAAATTCCTAGAAATCCTAGGGACCCTAACAAATGTGGAGGCTGCCAAGTTATCCAACATGATCCAGAAGCTTTGGGGCAGAATTAGACGAAGGAGAAACACCTAAGCGCTTTTTCCAAAGCAAAACATAAAAGGAAACGGATAGAAAACGTTCTTATTTATACTCACAAATAATAGCCATTAAAGAGTTAAAGTTGCCAATGTTGAAACACTCTCGGGCGACGTCAATGAAGTATTCTATCATCCTTGCTCTGTGTTTTTTCTTTATAGGCTGTGAGAGAGAGCAAAACACAACACTGGGATTTAGCTGAGAAGTTGCCCAAATGGGAAGAAGGATCTCTGAGCTTTTTAGATAGCACTGATTTTAACTTTTAAAGAAACAAGTGACATTTCAGGCTGGAGTCCAAAGTAAACGTTTCCCTGTCTAGTCGTATCTGACTCTAGGGCGCGATTCCCATCTCTGTTTCTTAGCCGAGGGAGCTAGTGTTGTCTGAAGACAATTTCCGTGGTCATGTGGCCAACGTGCCAAAGAGACACGGAACACTGTTACCTTCCCATCTAAGTGGTACCTATTTGTCTACTCGTATTTGCATGCTTTCAAACTCCTAGATAGGCAGGAGCTTGAGCAAGAATGGGAGCTCACCCTGTCGCACAGCACTCGGCTCTCGAACCCGGGCTGTCAGCTTTCTAAAAATACACCCACTCACACGTATTCAGAAGTGGTATTCAGCAGGTTCTGACTAGTTCTGGAGAACCGGTAGTGGAAATTTTGAGTAGTTCGGAGAACTGGCAAATCCCACCTCTGACTGGCCCTGCCAACCCCATCTACTCTCTGCCTCCCGAGTCCCAGCTGATTGGCTGGCTCTTCTTTTGTTGCCCTGCACAGGAGAATGGAGCTGGAAAGCAGGTTAGTGGGGTGGGGGGGGGGAATGGAGATTTTGCAGTATCCTTCACCCAGGAATGCGGAGGGAATGGGGATTTTGCAGTATCCTTCTACTGCCACGCCCACCAAGCCACATCACGCCCACCAAGCCACGCCCACAGAACTGGCAGTAAAAAAAAAATTGAATCCCACCACTGCATGACGTATTCCTTGCGTGGCGTAAGCAAGGACATCGGAGGAACAAATCAACAGGAAGTATAGCAAGCAATAATTACCCGTGTGAACTCCATTCAAACAAGAGCTGCAACCTCAAGGGGGTTTGGTGCAGAGTTTTACTTCTGTACCATACAATCTTGTGCAAAAATATAGCTCCAAGCTGGTCTTTGTGGTGTGATGGGAGCGGAAGGAAGGAAGGGCACCGCATACAGAAGGAAGACCAAGGAACCGTTTTGCTTACCATACATATTTCTGTGGCAACCAAATAACTCAGCCTATTGAACCACTCCACGTAAGCTTCCAGATTCCGAGACTTCTTCCGATCCCCGTAGGAGCTCTGAGAAGGAAACAAGAACCAGGCGTTAACTTCTCACACCACAAATTTAAAGAAGTGGTAGCATCTGGCCAAGCCAATTTGGGCTCAGAAATGAAATAGGGCTGATCGTGATTAGTTGCAGGTAGTCCTCGACGTACGACCACAACTGAGCCCAAAATTCATGTTGCTAAGTGGGAAGTTTGTTAACTGAGTTTTGCCCCATTTTATGACTTTTGCGTTTGTTAAGGGAATCACTGCAGTCATTAAATGAATAACACAGCTGTTAAATGAATCTGGCTTTGATTGTCAGGAGATCGCAACGACCCTGGGACATTGTAACCGTCATAAATGTGAGTCAATTGCCAAGCATCTGAATGTTGACAGCGTGACCATGGGCATACTGCAATGATCCTACATGTGAAAAATTGTCACAAGTCACTTTTTCCAGTGCTGTTGGAACTTGGAATGGTCACTAACTGAACTGTTGTAAATCGAGGACTACCTGCACTGTTAGGACAAACCATCAGTTGATCCTATAATCACTTGTCACTAGGTTAAATTGAAGCAACATGCCAGAAAGGGGCAACCGTAAATCACGCTATGGTATTGCAAATCACAATAATATAAAATATCACAACAAAGCAGTAGCATCAGTCAGAACATCCAGTAATCCAACATATGTACCACTTTGCTGTACCGTATATCTCCTTTTTGTTATGCAACTCTCTATTGCAGGGTTTCTCAGCCTTCACTAATTTAAGATGGGTGGACTTCAACTCCCAGAATTCTCCAGTCACCATGCTGGCTGGGGAATTCTGGGAGTTGATGTTCACCCATCTTAAAGTTGCCAGGGGTGGGAAATACTGCTTTGTAGCAAATCCTATCCAATTTGTTCCTCTTTAGACACGCTGACACTACAACACCAAGGGGTAATGGCATGCTGGATGAGTAGGCCGGTAAGTATATTGGTAACTAGTAAGGAGGAGGAGTGTTGTAGTCTCAACAGATCTGCATGGTACCAGAATGAAGAAGCCCACTTGAAAAGCTAAACTGGGGGGGAAAAAACTCAGTTATGCATGTTAACATTGGAGATCAGAGACACCTTTTACTGGGCAAATATTTTAATACAAATTTACCCATATGCATTTTCTGGATTTATTTGCAACAGTGGCAAATATCTGTCTGAACTTTCTGAATATCCATATGCACTTTCTGAATTTATAACATGCAAACCGACACCATTTTTCACTGAAATCCCATACTTAACTTGTCCCAAAGTCCATTATTTGGGGAGAAACTTTTGCAAAACTGTGTGCAGTAACATACACGTATGTAAACACGTGAAGGACTTTGAAAGCGTTGAAGAAAAGTGCAAATCACGGGGAGACGGGTTGGGCACAGATGAAAAATCAAGCTAAAACAAAGTGCCCAGGTTCATCCAATCCCAGCCAGAAACTTTTACCATAGTTTATAAAATTGTTCCTGCTATTCACCTTCTCATTGTCTAGGGTGTCCTTCTGTACAAACGCTTGGACAAATTCTTGTGGACCGATGTAACTAAGTCTCTCCTGAAAGAAAGAAAAATTCCACTCATGGTCAACGTTCATTCTTGTAGAAGGAAAGGTAAAGGAGTCTCTATGGATTTTACTCCGCTACTTGTTGCTGACTGTAGGGGGGTGGTACTCATCTCTGTTTCAAGGCCATTGAGCCAGTGCTGTCCAAAAATATTTGGATATGTGACCAGCATGATCTCACGGAGTGCTGTTATCTTCCCACCAAAGTGGTACCTATTTATCTACTTGTATCTGCACGCTTTCGAACTGCATTCGGCAGGAGCTGGGGCAAGGATGAGAGCTCACCCCGTCTTATCGCGCTCGGGTCTCGAACCCGGGCTGCTGGCTTTCCAAACAACAAGCCAAGCGTCTTAACTACCGAGCCACCCCGCCTCCCTTTGAAGAAGACCACTGAGAAAAATGATCAAACAAGAATAAAATAAAGTGGGGGAATAAACTTACAAGCTCTATGTGAGTCAGCTGCTGGGCCAACATATAAGGATCGCTGCAGATGGTGATGATATCTCGTTGGATGGCCTGAGGTTTGGTCTTTAATACCGTCAGCCTATCGGTTGAAGTAGCGTTGATTTTTGCAAGAACTTCCTCATATTGGTTGAGAGAGGCCAGCTTACGGATGAGGCTCTGGATGATTTGCTGCACGTTTTTCCGATAGGTCTGGAAAGAGAAATAATGAAAAGGGACCATCGTTTTTTAAACACCTGAAATGCTTTCTGTTGGCAGAACTTACACATAACAGTATGCCAGAAGATCTCTTCCGCTCATGAAGTCATGGTTTATTTGTATCCTGCCTTTATTTTTTAAATTTATTATAATGTTACATATTATCTATATATATAAAAGCGAAATTCCACTGAAGTATCATCACAAAATCTCCAGAACCGTAAAGCCTACACATTTGAAATTTGGCACCTATGTTCCTCTTGGCTTCTAAGTGCTCACAAAGAAAGGATTTTTCAAAACAACCATCAGAGCATTAATATTTCCTATATTATTATTAACACGCTCTGATGCTAAGTTCTTTCCCCCGTCCCCACCTGAAAAGAAATCTGTTCCAAATGCAAAACACAAGCAGAGGAGTTTCAGTTATAGAGCACCAAGCAGCTTTAGTACACAACAGTTGAGCTAAGCCACGCCCAGGCTCCTTGCTGTCTCCTTCTTGCTCACACAGCAAATGCTGTTTCAGTTTCCAAACAGCCCTCAACTCTCTCACACACTGACAGGACGCTAGTCAGATGGATACCAATGGGTGCTGGTAGGTTGAGCCAGAATATTTTTTTTCCTTATTTCCCCCCCAAAAAACTAAGCCCACTCACATAGTTTCATAGCAAAGCACGGGTATCGAGCTAGTATTACAAATAATTCAAGGTGTCGAACATGTCCAACACACTTCCTCTTACATTTTTGTGCACACCACCAATCCTATGAAGAGAGTTGGGCTGAGAGAGAATGACTGTCCCAATGTCACCCTGGTGGCTTTCATGGCTAAGGCGGCACTTGAACTCATGGTCTCCTGCTTTCTAGCCTCCTGCCTTAACTACTAAACCAGATTGGCTCCTCTGTTGCTTTGCCACCAAAGAGAATTGGAAGCCACAATCCATGAAGACTTCTAAACACGAGCAGCCACGATTTCTAGCTAAATCTACACCCAGAATTTGGTTTTAACTTTGGGGTTTGCTCTTTTACAATTTTTTTTTTAATGCCCTGAGACGTTCTTCTTCTTCCTCTCCTTGGAATTAGCTGAGGAAAGACAGAAAAACGAACCCCCCCAAAATGGTGAGCTATGTATCCTTTGACTTAGCCTGCAAGTAACTTTTAATCAAACTCTTTTTTTTAATAATATGATGTTTTCTTATTTTCTTAGGGCAGCGCCATAACCATGATTTTATTCACACAGAAAGGGGTGAACAACGAAGGCTGGGATGTCATAACGGAGATAAAAGCAGCACTTTCAAATTGATGGGCAGGGCTGCAGGGGTGGGGCTGCTGGGGGTTTGCAGGGGTTCGGAAGAGCCCCAAGCTAAGATTCTGTGCAGTTCGGGAAACCCCCAAATCCCACTCCTGGCTGGCCCCGCCCAATCTGCCCCTCCCCTCCCAGGAGTCCCCAAGTGGCCCTTTCTGGATGCAGGTAAGTGCAGGGCCTGCATTGGGGAGGGTGAAAAAGGGGCCTCCCAGAAGTTTGGGAAGAGAGAGCCTTCCAGGGAGCTTCCGGAGACCAAGGAGGCCGTTTTGGCCCTCCAGGAGGCTCAAGGAACGCCTCTGGTGTCCAGGGAGAGCAAACCCCCCCCCCTCCCACCATGGTGCAGGAGGCCGACTAGGCCACACCCACCATGGCCACGCCCACCCAGCCACCGGGCAGAGAGCTCTTTGCTAACATTTTGAAGCCCACCCCTGGGCAGGGGTGCCCCATTTCCTCCTGTTCTGCAGACAGACACAACCAGTGCCTTAAGATTTCTTAGTCCCCTTGGTAAGAATCCCAGCTGTAGATCTTTGTGGGCAGGGTGGTTTGATTACATAACTGCAAGAGAAAATTCTCACCAGAACAGTACTGGCTAAGCACATCAATATGCCGAACTGCGAAATGAAGAAATGATATTCCTGTAATGAGTTGAACCTGTCAAGTCTCTCTGTATTTTTTTTTTTAAAAGTGAGTTTCTTGTGCCCCACTGAATTCCTCCATCTAAACCGATTAAATTCCATAAAGCTGACCAGGAAGGAGGGAGGGAAGGAGGGAGGTAGGAAGGGAGAGAGAGAGAGAGAGAGAGAGAGAGAAAGGAGCAGCAGGTATAAAAACCAAGCTTCATCACATAGAAAAGTTGGGATATTCTGGGACTCACTTCAAACAGTCACGAAACGAAGGGCTGTAAGTCAAGGACTACCTGTGTTATGCTTTGAAGCTTGCTCAGTTTTTCCTATGCAGAACACAAGTTCACGCATGTAGATCTTTCTAATGAAAATGATTTTTTTTTAAAAAAAATGGAAGCAAAGAATTAGGCAGGTACAAAGGGAGCTAAAATGGGGATCCAGGATTAAATTTACTTCTGACTCACCTGCGCTGTGTCTTTGTCCTATGAAAAACATGATTTTGTAAGCCTATCCTTTATAAAGGAAAAAGGAAGGTGAAAGGGAAGAAAGGAAGGAAAGAGGAGAGGAGAGGAGAGAGGAAAGCAAAGAAAAGGAAAAAAGAAAAGAAAAGAAAAAAAGAAAAGAGAGGGGAAGAGAGGAGAGGAGAGAAGAGAGAAGAGAGAAGAGAAGAGAAGAGAAGAGAAGAGAAGAGAAGAGAAGAGAAGAGAAGAGAAGAGAAGAGAAGAGAAGAGAAGAGAAGGTGGGGGTAGAAACTAAAGTGACAGGGGAAAAAATGAAATGATTCCCATTAAGTTGTCCTCCGGAGGCCCTTCCAGCAAAAAACCACAACTTTAATTTTCTCTCTTTTTCTAGCTTATCCTCTTCCTTTGACAGACTTTGCTTGTGGCTATGTGACCACATCGTTTGCGCAAGCTGAGTTTCCAACACAAACTGACTTGCCAGCATTTTTGAGGCTATGATGTAACTTTGTTAAAACCATAAAAAAAGACTTCCAATCTGGAGGGTAACTTCTCATTTACATCCACGCTGTGTGAGAGAGAACGGATATGTATGTCAAGTATTTTTAGATTATTATCCTTAAATCAAAACTCCCATTTTAAAAAATAAATAAAAGAAATTTAAACTTCTGATTAAAGGTTAGAATCAAGCTGTGAAAAGACAATAAAAGGCGAGTAAAGGACCTTGTAAGGTCCTTGATGAATTGGGAGACCATAAAACAGGTATCTTTCATGCTAGGCGTACATGCACGGCGCCTAAAGGCAAGGAATGAATGTACATCGTATCTGAATTTCTGAAAAAAGCAGGCTCTATGGGTGAAGAACATTTATTTACTTTTATTTCTTTCACTCCCCCTTCTTCTTCTTCCCTGGTCACATTCTATCTCTCAAGCCCTAGAGGGACAAATCCGATTGAAAAGGATATTAGAGGCTGGCAATATAGCTGTTTTTAATTGGAATGGAATAGAATGCGATGGAATGGAATGGAATGGAATGGAATGGAATGGAATGGAATAGAATAGAATAGAATAGAATAGAAAACATGGAATAGAATAGAATAGAATAGAATAGAATAGAATAGAATAGAATAGAATAGAATAGAATAGACTAAGCTGGGAAGGACCTTGGAGGTCTTCTAGTCCAGCCCTCTGCTGAAGCAGGAGAACCTATACTATTTCAGATAAGTGACTGTCTGGATTATTCTTTTTAGAAAATCCAGTGATTTGTGGAGGCAAGCTCTTCCACTAGTTAATTGTCCTTCCTGTTAGGAAGTTACGGCAAGGACAATAAAAATGTACCCGGAATAGTAAGAACAACAGGTTTTGCTTTTTGGCTTCCTCAACTAAAAAAAATACATCCAAATACAGGTAGTCTTCAACTTATAGCAGTTCAAAGTTACAACGGCGTTGAAAAAAGTGACTTATGACCGTTTTTCACACTTACGATCTGTGCAGCATCTCCACGATCACATGATCAAAATTGATCAGGCTTGGCAACTGATCCATACTTATTTGGGGGGAGGGGGTGGAAAGCCACCCAAGCGGCAGGCTGGCACACACATAGCTCCACTCATGCAAAAGGAAAGCCTTTGGGGTGCCGCTTGAGTGAATGGGGCTGCACACCGGGCCAGCACACCATGCTGTTGTGAATAGGCCATGGCTTGGCAGTGTGGCTCACAGGCTGGGGACTCCAGCTATATTGGATAATGAAGACCGGTGGTGGGATTCAACTGGTTCGCATAATTTCAGCCAAACCAGTTGTTAAATTGCTGGCTGGCTCTGTCCCTCCCCTCCTCACCCCACCCAAAGTCCCCATGCGCCCTGTTTTGGCTCCCAGGAGGCTGCAGGGAGACCTACTAGGCCCAAAACAGGGCACGGGGGTGCGGTGCAGCCCCCCCCTCCCCGTGGCCCATTTTTGCTCCCAGGAGGCTGCAGGGAGGCCTACTAGGCCCAACACAGGGCATGGGGGTGTGTGCAGTGCCCCCTCCCTCCGGCCCATTTTTTCACCCGGGGGGGTACAGGAGGCCGAGTGCTGCCTGTTACACCCTCTGGCCACGCCCACCATGGCCACGCCTACCCAGCCGATCATTAAGAGACGTACCTAAGCGCACAATCGTGCCTACTGTCCCTGTCCTGTTGTCCCCAATTATTCACACCTATTTCATGTATTTATACTTATGTTTATTCTTATTTCTATTATATTGTAAGCGTCTGATAAATCAAATAAAGGAAGGGAAGGGAAGAGAAGGGAAGGGGAAGGAAGGAAGGAAGGAAGGAAGGAAGGAAGGAAGGAAGGAAGGAAGGAAGGAAGGAAGGAAGGAAAAGAAAGAAAGAAAGAAAGAAAGAAAGAAAGAAAGAAAGAAAGAAAGAAAGAAAGAAAGAAAGAAAGAAAGAAAGGAAGGAAGGAAGGAAGGAAGGAAGAAAGGAAGGAAGGAAGGAAGGATGTTAGATTATTTGAATCCCACCACTGATGAAGACAGTTGTATCAGTAAGTCAGAGGTGGTAACTTTGATTTTCTGCTTCATTTTTCCTTTCCATTTCTTTTAGATCTTTTGACTTGTTTTGACAGGTGGCCTCCCAAGAGAACAATGGCAGAGACTGTTCCTGCTTCCCTCTTCGGTTTGTAGGCGAGACAGCTAGGAAGGAATGCTGAGATCTCCTTGTCAAAACTACTGTATTCTTGGGGGGTAGCTCTGCAATGCAGGCATTACCACAGATGTTATCTTAGCTAGAAAATCAGAGGGCTATATATCAACATAGGTGAGAGGTAAGTTCTTAGTCTGAGAACATTGTCCAGTTCCCTCAACAACAGCCAGGCAGGGAGAAATCTCGGACATCTGCAGACTGCTAAAAAAATGCAGCCAGATGGACTGAGGGATGCTTCTGGGATAGGATAACTCTAGTCAAATTGCATTGAAGTGGAATACAGGTAGCCCTCAACTTACGCCCAAAATTTCTGCTGCTAAGTTAAACATTTCTTAAGTGAGTTTTGATTCATTTTATGACTTTTCTTGCCAGATTTGCTCAGTGAATGACTGCAGTTGTTAAGTTAGTAATAATACAATTGTTGAGTCAATCTGGCTTCCCCATTGATGACCCCAGGACACTGCAACCATCATAAATATGAGTCAATTACTTAGCCTCTGAATTTTGATCACATAATCTGCAATGGCCTTGTGGAAAACGGTCATAAGTCACTTTTTTGACTACCGTTGCAACTTTGAACAGTCAGTAAATGTGTATTAACAGATAACAAATAATCAGAGTTGGAAGGGACCTTGTAGGTCATCTAGTCCAACCCCCTGCCCAAGCAGGAGATCCTACACCATTTCTGACAGATGGGAGTCCAATCTCTTCTTGAAAGCCTCCAGTGATGGCGCTCCCATAACTTCCGAGGGCAACTTTTGTTCCATTGGTTGATTGTTCTCACTGTCAGAAAGTTTCTCCTTATTTCTAGGTTAAATCTCTCCTTGTTCAGTTTCCATCTATTATTCCTTGTCTTGGCCTACAGGTGTCTTAGAAAATAGCTTGACCCCTTCCTCTCTGTGGCAGCCTCTCAAATATTGGAAGACTGCTATCCTGTCTCCCTTGGTCCTTCTCTTCACTAGACTAGCCATGCCCAGTTCCTGTAACGGTTCTTCATATGTTTTAGTCTCCAGTCCCCTAATCATCCTGGTTGCTCTTCTCTGGACACTTTCTAGAGTCTCAACATCTTTTTTCATAGTGTGGTGACCAAAACTGGATGCAGTACTCTAGGTATGGTCTTACTAAGGCTTTATAGAGTGGTATTAGTACCTCGCTTGATCTTGATTAAATGAACTGTTGTAAGATGAGGACTATCTGTATTTAGTTCCTGGATTTTAAAAAAATTGAAAGGATAAACCTATGAAGGAGGACTTGATGGGAGTTATATTCTTGAAAGAACAACATTCCTTTGCCCTGGTCTGCAATGCAGTGCAATAAATACAAGGGCATAATTTACTTTTCCAAGGAAACTGCAAGCCGGCATCACAAATAATTTATGGCACTCTGAATTCTATTATAATATTGACTTTTCCATTTCTTTTTGCAAATCTCTTTTTCAGCATGCAAACACAGAAGCCCTTATTTTAAAATTGCATATGGATTGCCCATGGACAAAACAGCCCTTTTTCAAGGTGGCTTGAAAGTTTAAATAAACAATAAAAATTCTTCTAACAGCTTCATAACTTTAACTGAAAGACAATTCATAAGGTCAAAGCCAACCAAGTGTAAACTTTAATGTAGCGTTCCCCAATCTTGGGCAATTTTACGATGTGTGAACTTCAATTCCCAGGATTCCAATGTATGCTGGCTGGGGAATTCTGGGAGTCGAAGTCCACACATCTTAAAAGTTGCAAAGGTTGAGAAATGCTACCTTAAAGTCAAACATTTATTAAAACAACTGCCACTACACAGTTCCACAATACGTTCTCTGAGAATAAATATGTCTCCAGGTTACTTATGGATGGTAGAGATCTAATATGACAATTTTTCTTCGTCTATCCTCCTTAAATTCTTTGAGCAGCAGGCCTTTCTGTCCATCAAACATATGGGGCTGGAGAGAGAGAAAATAGACCCCTCGTTCTTCCTTTGTATGGTGTTTGATCGGCCAACAACACAACTGACTTCTCTTCTGTTGTCATTGTTACAGTCCCATGAGACTGTGTAAAGGTTGATGAACTTATGAGATGTCCTATGACGACATCTTTTAAGATGTCGGGTGGGAAAGCTGATATGATCAGTTGGCCAATCAGGAGACTGGGAGTTCTAGTCCCGCCTTAGGCATGAAAGCTAGTTGGGTGACTTTGGACTAATTACTAGAGGACTGAGTTCTAGTCTCGTCTTAGGCATGAAAGCCAATAAAGTGACATTGGGCCAGTCACTTTCCCTCAACCCAACCCAACTCACAGGGTTGTTGTTTTGAGGAAAATAAAAGGGAAAATAAGTATTATCTATGTTCACCACCTTGGTTTATTTATGTTTAAAAACTTAATTAAAGGCAAGATAAAATAAAGTCTGAGCATTGAAGCTCAATATATCTGGAAGATATTAGCACTGCGAAAAGTTGCCTTTAACTGTCATCCTTAAAAAAAATACTTGTGTGTTTTCCTAACGTTTGAGTAGTGTTTGGGCATTTTCCCTGGGATTATGAAATATTCCAGCTGCTCTTGCCTCCAGTACTTCTCAGGATGGTTCGGCATTCCTCAACAATAGTTATCTATTCATCTGTCTTTCTTTGTATAACATCACAAGCAGACAATGACTCACAGTGGTTTCCAACAATTGAAACAACATCAAAAAGCATCAAATTCAAAACAATAAAAGAATTTACACAATGATTGAGCAAGCTCGAAATAGTGGCGTGCAATGAAAACTAGAAAAATAGGGACTAACCACTCAATTACCATAATTTTAGTTATAATCTACCTACATATTCCTTTCCACACATATCACCACTACTGTCAACCCTGAAGTGAGCCTGGCTGAGGCCACTTTGGAAGCTTCAGCGTTGCCACACAACAGAGGGAGGGAGGATAATAGTTAGATGGGGGTTAGTAGTAGTGGTGGCATGCTACCAGTTTGGACCAATTCGGCTGAACCGGTTGTGAAAAAAGCCTCTGACGATCAGCTGAGAAGAGAAAAAAAAAAGCCTCAATCAGCTGAGAGGAGAAAGAAGAGAAACCCCTGTGATTTTCTCTTCATTATCCTCTCAGCTGATTGGCGCTGCAGGGCTCAGCTGGCATGGAGAAAGCTGCGCATGCACATTAGGTGCACACACATGCACGCGTGATCACTGAACTGATAGTGGAACAGGTAGGATCCCACTGCTAGTTGGTAGCCAAAACAATCCAAGTTTTCCTGGGGGAACCAAGGACATTCTCACAGGTGGCTGGCCAGAGGAGGAGGATGGTAACCAGGCAACAGCCAGCAACTGGATTGGACAACGGTGACTTAGGGGAGGGAGGGGGAAAACTTTTTCTTTTAATTAGGTGAAAGCTGCGGGAACTTTTATAGAGTCGGCATTCACCAATTGTGCCAATATGATGTATCCCATAAAACTTTGCCTGCCCTTGGAGTTCTCATTTCTATGGGTGCATTACTTGGAATGCTGACAAGTACATTTCAAGTTATGCTATATTCCACGTTATCCTATATTCCACATATATAACCGTTCCACTTGCGTTTTCTTCTGTTGGCAACCGTTTTGCACCCCGAGGCTCACCTCATCTGTACTGGCTATTCGATGGGCCAGCTCTTTTAGATTTCTCATCATGCGCTCATCTCGAAAATCATACGGTAACATTTCCGTCCACTCCGCCAAGAGCTGCAGGATTTTGGGGGCAATCTTCCTTAACCGGCTCTGGAGAGGAAGGTTAAGTGAAAGAGACAGGCATATTAATTAGCCAAGATGACTGGGGGGAATCTCTTTTAAGTTGGGCGGAATTATAGGTTGTCATTATCGCATGCCAAGCTATGTGGTAGGACGATGTTAAAGGAGGCTGGCAAATCAAAGAAAAAGGCAGATTCCACCCTTCTATTTAGTAAAAAAATAAAATAAAATACAAATTTAAACTACACCTCCCAAGCAAACGATTTCCCAACCTCTGCATGAACATTTACCCTGAGATAAATGTTTATTTATAGATAAATGTATATTTACCTATAACTATTTATTTATTTACTATATTTATAAAATGTATTGGTCGCTCATCTTACCTCACGGTAACATTTACCTGAGGTAACTTACCTGAGTTTACCTGAGGTAAATGTTACCCTGAGGTAAGATGAGCGGCCAATACATTTTATAAATATAGTAAATAAATACATTTCAAGAGAAAGAAACGTCCAAACATACCTGCTTTCCCTACTGAATTATTTTTACCATGAAGATTTTTTCTCCCTGAACATTACATTGGAATGAGTTTTCCTTTTAAAATAAATAAAACTATTTATTCTGTGTCCTGCATTTTGGGAATATATAGAAGTAAATAACAGAGATAACAAAATAACATAGCTGGAAGGGACCTTGGAGGTCTAATAGTCCAACCCCCTGCAAGGCAGGAAACCCTATCTTGGCCTTCTCCTTTGTGACATTAATTGGGCCTCTCCAAATATCCTCTATCCAATGTGTCATTTTTTCCCTTGATCCCTAATTCCATGAATCTAAATTTCTGCTTTTTGTCTTTCACACAGTCTTTCTGAGTTTTGTCTGTGTCCTTCTTAAAGTGGACCAAACACACGAATACTGGAGGTTAACTACTGGGAGTCCTCGAATTGCAACCGTTTGTTTAGCGGCCGTTCAAAGCTATAATGGCACTTAAAAAAAGTGACTTACAACTGGTCCAAACATTTACAACCGTCATGAAATCAATGCAAAGCCAAGAAGGGGAGCCAGATTCATTTAACAACTGTGTGATTCACTTAACAACCATGGTAAAAAAAAGGTTGTAAAATCAGATATGACTCATGGGCTGCCTTGCTTAGTAATAGAAGTATTTGTCCCAAATTGTGGTCAGAAATTGAGGACTGCCTGTAAGCTGCACTACACCAGAGAACAGCCAGCTTCAATTTAATCAGGATCAAATTCCCCTATTCCATTTTTCCTTGGAATATTCCATTTTTCACTCAGAATGCATTGCTCATTCCTGGAATACAGATAAGTCTCTGACTTATGACCACAACGAAGCCCAACATTTCTATTGCTAAGCAAAACATTTGTTAAAATGAACTTTATTCCATTCTACGACCTTTCCTGCCACAATTGTTAAGTGAATCGCTGCAATTGTTAAGTTAGGAAGTTGGTTGTTCAGTGAATCTGGCTTCCCCATTGATTCTGCTGAAGGTCGCAAAAGGGGACTCAGAGGACACTGCAACGGTCATAAATACGAGTCAGTTGCCAAGTGTCTGAATTTTGATCACATGACCACGGGGATGCTACAGGAATTGTAAGTTTGGAAAACGGTCACAAGCAGTGATGGGATTCAAATACTTTTACCACCGGTTCAGTGGGCATGGCTTGGTGGGCGCGCTTTGAATGCGTGCACACACTTTGCATGTGCCATGTACCAAATGCGCACTTTGAGCAGGCGCAGGGGCGTTCTAACTTGCCTCCTGCAAGCCTGCAGGATCCCGGTCACTTTGGCAGCTGCCGCACAGCACTCTACTGTGCAAAGCAGCTGCGCTTCAAATTCAGAGGATAAAGGTGAGTATGGGAGGCCAGGCGGGCGGGTGGGCCCAACAGCAGAGTGGCGGAGAGAACCGGTTCAGTCTCTGCTGCTCATCGCCGCTACCGACTTGGCAGAACCGGGTCGAACCGGTCGAATACCACCACTGGTCATAAGTCATTTTTTTACAGTGCCACTGTAACTTGGAACATTCACTAAACAAACTGCTGTAAGTCGAGGACTACCTCTACGTCTCTCTAGAAAAGGGGCGTCAAACTGGCAGCCCGCAGGTCAGATGCGTCATGCGCAGGCCACGCCCACCCCAGCCCTAGAATGTTTGGTTTTGCACATCTGTACTGCAAATTCTGACAGGCACGATTGTCACTGGATCTCAGTGAATCCATACTGCAAGGCTGTTCTGAAAATAATAACAATAAAAAAAGAAGACTAGATTCACAAGAGTGAACCTCTTGAGGGGAAAAAAGGGGGGGGGTGACTTATAAATTCAACTAGTCAGCATCACAAACACTTAGCCTGAATATATTTGGAGTTAAGGTTCTCTCCTTTGGAGGAAGTTGAGTTTCTATCCTGTCTTTCTCCTCTGTACCCTTCCAGCTCTATTCTATTCTATTCTATTCTATTCTATTCTATTCTATTCTATTCTATTCT